CTTTTTATCATTTGTGCAAACGGACTTTCAATTTGCCTTGATATCAGCTGACAACAGATAAGCCGGTCTGTTTTTACACGAACTTAAGTGTTTCTACATCAATATTACACTGTATTCAAATTACATTATTATAAATTTAAATTTCGTTATTGTTATTCACCGAGATAAAATTTTATACATTTTATGCATATTTTTGCTTTTATAATATTTAATTCTACATGTGATACACATACACATTGAGAAATCTCAGTGAATCATTTTTATTATCATGCTTTGTTTCAATTCTCAGCAATAATCGAATCGTGAAATCTGAATGACGTTTTTCCAATCATTAAAACAAATGTCGCATCAACATACGACATTATAGCGGGAATAAATAGCGGAAGTAGCCAGCACGTGGTTTAGACTGCTTAGCTTTCTGTCAAGACAAAGTGGCTTTGTTATTTTCTTTATTTTTTTCGGTTATCTCGAGTCGCTCCTACGCGTCACGCATAATCGTAAAACGAAGATTATGAGGCACCGCGAGCAATAATTTGCCATCACGTAGAATAGTCAGGTGAATAGAGACGAACGGCCGACTCGAGGCCTTTCACCCTGGCACAAGTTTGCCCGACTTTCAATCTCTTTCCCACGTATTCAACCTGCCTTACGGCCTCCTCTTTCCCCGTCTATTGTGTCGGATCGCAGGTACGGCATTTTATCTTTATCTCCGCGTCATAAACAGGCGGCTGTGGTCGACGCCAACGCGGAACAATTGGCGATTAAAGCTATCACTTAACACTCACGTCTTCTCCTTATTCTCTCTTAGTCCGATATACCTCCCGAGAAAGCGTCTTGGATAAGCAAACGAGCTAAATTAATTCAAATAAAATTATTAGGTGTACAACTTTGCTTCCGCCGTTTTTTTTTTCGAAATTCGAGACTTTATTGTAAAAAACTTATACATTTATGATTCAAAGTATTGTCCATCGCTGGCCACTACTTTCTCCCATCTTTCGGGTACCATACGAATCCCGCGTCGAAAAAACTGGTCATCTTTTGAAGCTATCCACGAATCGATCCAATTTTTTACTTCTTCATAAGACCGGAAGTGCTGGTCAGCCAGGCCGTGTGCCATTGATCGAAACAAGTGATAGTCAGATGGAGCAACGTCTGGAGAATACGGCGGGTGGGGTAGGACTTCCCATTTCAACCTTTCCAAGTATGTCTTGACCACTTTCGCAACATGGGGTCGAGCATTGTCATGTTGCAAAATCACTTTATCGTGTCTCTCGTTGTATTGCGGCCGTTTGTCTTTCAATGCTCGGCTCAAACGCATCAATTGCGTTCGATACCGATCGCCTGTGATTGTTTCAGTCGATTTTAACAGTTCATAATACACTACGCCGAGCTGGTCCCACCAAATACAGAGCATGACCTTGGACGTCAAAATCACCGTTCTTGAAGCGTTGAAACCACGACACGTTCTTTCACTAATAGCGGCCTCCACCATAAGTATTTGAGAGCATTCGATGAGCCTCAGCCGCAGATTTCTTCATATTGAAGCAAAAAATTATATTATATAAATTAAAACCTCCCGCAAATGACGAGAATTTGGCTCGTAAACTGACATTTTCAATCGAGAATAACTATGATGCAGACACAAATCGACTAATGTTTCTATGGGGTTATGTTGACAGATGCCCAAGTTTATTGTATGTTGTCTATGATCTATTTATTTCGATCACTACTTACCGCTAAAGCTATCTATAGGAAAACGGCGGAAGCAAAGTTGTACACCTATATCACTTAAAATTTTCTATTGTTGTCAATTGACTATTATGTCGTACTATATATATTATGTCGTACTATAATAAAAAGATGAAAAACGATATTTTTTTGTTATGTTTCTACGTTTGTTACAAAACTGAATTGATACTTTTAGAAATAAGGCGATCGCGGATTACCTTAGCACGAATGGCTATCAGGATGCACTGGAGGCATTCAAGAAAGAAGCCGATATGCCGGGAGAGGTGGAAAGGAAATATGGAGGCCTCCTGGAGAAAAAGTGGACTTCAGTTATACGGTTGCAGAAGAAGGTAAAAATCCCTTCTTTTCGAGAGACATTTTACTCGACTCTCGATACAATAGTAATGCGTGCACGGAAGAATTCAACGATATATTACGTCAGCTAAGTGGCTCTTTGTATGCACTCACGTGTAATGTGTCGTAGGTAATGGAACTGGAGTCTAAACTCTCCGAGGCAGAGAAAGAATTCATAGAAGGCGCACCAACACGTGGCAAAAGATCACCGTCCGAATGGATACCGAGGCCACCAGAAAAGTTCAGTCTATCCGGACACAGAGCCCCTATCAATAGAGTTATTTTCCACCCAGTTTTTAGTCTTGTAGTCTCCGCCAGCGAAGATGCTACCATTAAGGTAAGAACGCTCGAACGACTTACAAATAAATCAACAATATTTGCTAGATTGCTTTGCAAGTATCAGATTAAAAACACAATTTATATGCCCTCTATTCTTCTAGGTATGGGATTTTGAAAGTGGCGACTTCGAGAGAACGCTCAAGGGTCACACTGACAGCGTGCAAGACATTGCGTTCGATACCTCGGGCAAGCTACTCGCCTCTTGTAGCGCGGACATGTCCATCAAACTGTGGGATTTCCATCAGTCATTCGCTTGCGTCAAGACCATGCACGGTCACGACCACAATGTCAACTCGGTCGCGTTTGTGCCGCAAGGTGACTTCGTGGTGAGCGCCTCCAGGGATAAAACCATCAAGATCTGGGAAGTGGCGACGGGCTATTGTGTGAAGACGCTTACGGGACATAGGGAATGGGTGAGAATGGCGCGAGTTAGCCCATGCGGCGAACTCATCGCCAGCTGCTCGAACGATCAGACTGTTCGAGTATGGCACATTGCGACAAAGGAGACTAAGGTAATGTAGTTTGCTTCTTGTCCTTCTAAAAGTAATCCAAGCATTCATTCGTAATGCAAAATCATTTGGGATCGTCAGGTCGAGTTCAGGGAACACGAGCACGTGGTAGAATGCATCGCATGGGCACCGGAGAACGCGAGAGCGTCGATCAACGCGGCGGCTGGAGCGGACAATAAGGGCGCACACGAAGGGCCCTTCCTCGCTTCCGGCTCACGGGACAAGATGATCCGCGTGTGGGATGTCGGCGCTGGGGTGTGCCTTTTCACCCTCGTTGGGCACGACAACTGGGTGCGATGCATCGTCTTCCATCCTGGCGGCAAGTTTATCGTCAGCGCGTCCGACGATAAGACGCTGCGAGTCTGGGACACGCGCAATAAGCGAGTAATGAAGACCCTTGAAGCGCACCTTCACTTCTGCACTTCTGTCGGTTCGTACACATCCTTTTACTTTTTTTCTCAATTGGTGCAACATTTCTCTGATTTCATTGAATTATCGAACGCGAATCATCAATTCGGTACATATATAGAGAACGAAGATGTTGCTCCTTCTTCATATTATATATAAGTATATTTGATTCTTTAACTATAGATTTCCACAAGAACCATCCTTATGTGGTCACCGGGAGCGTCGATCAAACGGTGAAGATTTGGGAGTGCCGCTAGTCACCGAATTTTAAATTTTCCGTCAGACGTCGTGTGCGGAAGCGAACGGAAATATAAATGAGAGAAAAGACGAACGCGCATCCATTTTAATGGAATCGGCCGAAAGAGTAAGCTGCTACAAAAGCTATCGTACATATATGCTATTAATATTAATATTATTATATTATTATACATAAACACACATAAACACGTATGGTTAAGAGCTCTTTAATTAATTTATAAAAATAAAGTATAATTAGTAATTATATTATAAAATACATCGTTTTACGGCAATGAACTGCACTATCGAGGAGAGTGAATCGAGAAACGGTTACGAGGATCGAACGATCGAGAGGACGTTCCCACGAGTTCTTATTACCTACGATCACCTACGGGACGTGGGGTCACTAATGCCATATACAATTACAAGAGTTATATTCCTTTAGGCAATTGTGCAATTGTAGTAGGCATTATTCTGTACATATACTGTGTTTTTACTCGCAGCGCGAAATTTTGTCGTTAATGAGTATAACTCGCCTTTGATTTATTCTTACTCTCTTCGTCTGCTTATGCGATTGTATCCATTAAAATATTAGTTACCAGCTGATTGTATACACACGTACACGCGCGCACTCGCGCAAAGAGAGAAGAAGATCGTCCTCCTCGATTATCACCTTGCATAAGAACGCGTCGAATCTCTTTAACTTTCTGACAGTGACGAACTTTCGGCTGTGGCGTCACCTCCGCGCAACTATGATGGTAACTAATTCGTGTTGTCACTTATATATCCATACGCTCTCCTCGAGAGTTTTTGAGAGAACGAAGATGTTGCTCCTTCTTTACTCATATTATATATAAATATATACACACAGTATACACACATACATAACACACACATGTATAGACGCGCATGTCTTTGTATCATACAAAGTATCGAGTGTTAATGATCGTCTAATGTCGACTCACGTGTGTCCTGAGTTATCACATTTGCCGTAAAACATCTATTTTGTGGGACACGTAACATAATGTCGCAAATATAAATCGGATGATATACAAACAAATACATAGTACGACAAAGATTATCTCGATCGCAAACGAATAAGTTATTACACGTCTGTGTAGATCGGATTCTCTTGAAACGGCATGTCCCTTTTGGAATTTTACTGAATTTACGTATGTCATGTATACTCTCACAAAGGGTGCGTTCCGTTTCATGCATGGATCGACAGGGCATCACATGTGCGCATTCACTCGTTTTTCCCTTTTTCCTATCATTCTGGATGCGTTTCGTTTCATGCATGATGCGCATGGAGAGCGCATGAGATTGTTCCGTTTCACTCCATGCGCAGTTTATCCACTTACGGGAACGGTTTCCCGCGTCATACCGCGCAGCGCATGAGAGCACATGGACTATCTCAGCTCTTCAGGTGGTACAGTCCATGCGCGAGGGTTATTTAGAGACGAGAAAAAGACTGTTCCGTAAAGTTCGTTACAAATTGTGAAGATTTATTATTCTGAAATTTATAACAAATTTTCTTGAAAAAGCTACACGTTTATATTGATGATGAATTATGTTTAACATATTTGATGATGAGTTTCAAGCGCTTATAAATTGTTCCGTTTTTCTATGCGCAGTAAGAGTAATGGGAAAAAGAGAACGAGCCAACGACTATGTTCAGCGGAGAAAATTGATCAGTGAGCGTTCAGTGATTTTTTTGATATGATTGGATGCATTCAGTACTACAACTGCTCTTTGAACGCTCAGTGAGTTCTTGCATATGATTGGCATATTTGAAAATCTTCAAGATTTGTACATTTCTGATGATAAAATAAATTAAGGAAAGTAATAAAGATAAAGTTAATTAAAAATAATTAAGGAAAGTAAAATAATAAAGTGTAAACTGAGAGAATCAGGAAATCGCTCGATGGGATTTAAAGAACATTTTGTAGAATGGTGATGGAAAATAGATTTATGCGCCATGTGTTTAGTGTTGTTGCGCAATTATGCGTTTATCATGCATTAATAATAATAATAATGTTACACAATGGACAGCCGAATCTAGAGAATGCGACTGAAACTTGAGCGTCTGAATAGAATCGATTGGAGAAGAAACTCGTGAGGCGTAACGTGTGAAAGTTTTTAGAAGCGCATAGTTCATTGCGTGGGTTCCAAGAGAAGGTGGTACTAGTTGTATCTTTTTAGTTCTAACTAGTATTAGTGGTAGCACATTACGTAGACGATAGAAAGAAGATAAGGGAATAAACCTCGAAGAGAACATGAAGTTAAGGGAGGCTCCCAGATGTTCACATCCCAGAGTTGAACACATCTACTTACATCGGTCAGTGAATAGTAATTTTGCAGTCTACGACCAATGAGAACATATTATCTCGCTTTAGCCAATTAGCGATGTGTCCAATTGAGATCCTCCCGAAGTTAACGATTGATTAACACACATACATACAAATTTACACGTCATACATACTTACACAGACATACGAAAGGTCTTAAAGCGTCCGATTTTTCAGGCATTCAATAAGAAGGAAACATTTACACACGTGTATAAAACGTATAATCCACAAGAAAAAAGAAATCAATAATCGATAAATCGCTTAATTAAGGATAATTTTTCCAACACGGTACACCTACTGACTGCTACCTTCTCCTATTGTTTATTCAACCAAGTATAAAACAACAAATCCTCCCTTACCCGAGAAGAAACACTCCTCAATTAAATGTGGTACTAAATTATTTTGGTGAATAATAAACAGAGTTGTCACTGAGTCGTGAGATCGTTATATACTACAAGTCATACCTATGCAATTCGTATTCGGAACAGCATAATTCTTTTCATTCTTTAACGACATAATTTCTTTTTTTTTTATTATTTGCAGGTCTCATATTAATCTATTCCGAGTATGCGTCTAGGAATGCGCAGACGACTCCGTTGTACCTACTAGAATTTTTGTAGTTTCAATCGGAGCAGTATAGGTTTAGGGTTTCTCCCTTCTAACTCTGCAGTACATTAATCGACATGTGCATGACAGTATTTTATATAGTACAATAGAGCAAAGAGAATTAGCAACGTAGCATTGTAAGCGAGACGCATACCAAACATCCCTGTGCGTGTTTATACGTAGATGATGTAATAAAAAAAAAAGAGAAAAACAACACGAAAAGTTATGTTATAGCGTCGCCTGTCATTCGTCACGATTCGTCACGATGGCTTCTATGACTCGCTTTCTACCTGCTTGGGAAATAATGGTACCAACAAGTAGATTTACAATAAAGTATTCTTCGTCATTTGTGATACACAGGATTGGCGAACGTTTATTGTAATCCTGAAATGTGCTATATGAACTCCTTGTAGGAAAATACTTTTCACTCTTACAGAGTGAAATTAATAGCGATAATATTGCTCCTTTATAGCCGTAGCACAGACTTTTTGCATCATAAACTTTATACAATAAATCATTATCTAAGCTTTAAGCTTTAAACTATAAGAAATTGAACACTCATAATCGATTATTCTTCTCTCATTTGACTGTGATTAGTTAATATCTTATGATTAAAACTTATGATTTAAGACTTAAAACTTAGCTTATTGTAAAAAGCCCTCGCATAATGCATAGTGCATACGAGAATCAATCAATCAAAATTTTTTTTCTTCCCTGAATAGGAGGAAAAGAAGGATTTTGATTGGTTGATTCATTCATTGGTTGATTCGTATGCACTGTCTATTTTGCATTATACAAAAGTCTATGTTGTGGTTTTTTTTCTGAACTTTTCTGAATTTTTACGCAATCTTATTTTTATTAAAAATAATTCTAAGTTTATAGTGATAAAAGAGATTTTTTTCATTTAAGAGATTATCTACATATTATAAAAAGCTATATTGAAGGAAGAATTAATACGATCGATCAAATCAAACATAGGAATTTTTTTATGCAAGATTTATTATAATGAAAGATATTTTTTTAATTTATTATAACTATCGGTAATGTAGATCGCGCGGTTTATCGCAATCGATAAGACCGATTACTTGCTTATCGATGGATCTATAAAACGCGCGAAACCCGCGCGTTTGCTTTAACTTCCCAGCAATAAAAAATCCAAAATTGAGATATAAGACGTTTATGATTTAAAACGTAAGATATCTTTAAAACACTTTATATCTTGTTTTCGAATATGCGTGTTATCTGAATTGTGAAATCGAATAATACAATACAGAATGCAATACAGAAATGCTTAAATTTTATTATTGTTGATATATTTCACTTTAATATTGATAAATAAAAACATATAATTAAAATAGTAAGTTTTATGTAGTACATTACAACGAAAAATAATAAGTTTCGATAGTAGTTCACAGATTGATGTTGACACAGATAACACTTGCAACGTAATTTATGTTGTATACTTGTAGATGTAGATTATTACATTTTATGCATAAATACACAAGAATTATTTTTTATGCCAAATTAATTAAATCTGTATATAAATACATCTTTAAAGAAGAAAGTTTTGTAACTATCCATACAGCACGCGTAACAGTTTAACGTTAATGGATGACTAATTCCCATTTCCGCCAATGTAGATTAACTTTATCTCGGTTCAACTTAGGCCGGAATCAAATGCATTGAAGAATGAGATTGAAGATTGAAAGTTGACAATCAGAACAAAAGGAATCAAAATTTCTTTGTTCTCATTGATGAAATTTCAATCTTTAATCTTCAATCTCAATCTTCAATGCATAGTCTGATTCCGGCCTTACTCTCCGTTTTTTTCAAATCTCTAGAAAAAAACCAAGAGTAAATTGAACCGAGATTAAAATTAATCTATATTGATGGAAATGGACATAATAATTGACTTTTTTTAGTCAATTTAAAGTCGATTTGTAAAGTCGACTTTTCTAGGATAGCTAAAGTGGCGTTGTTAAAAGTGATAGATGCGCACGCATGATCGATATTTTCATCGATATAATGATTCTTGCAACCATAATTTAGAGCATCTAGAGGATCGTACATTTCTATTGTTTACACGAGGATTGCATCAGATTGCATTGTTGATGTCAGATGGTATGGTTGATAATTGTTAATTCATTGGAAATTAGTTGCTCGTGATTAAGTTTCGAAGAACAATCATTGTCGCGATCTTTGACAATCGACCTTGCATAGATTTGCCACAAATCAATGGATTAATAGTTGTTAACAGTCGTTAGTTTTGCGTTCTCGTTGTTTGAAAGGTTCTTAATTAATTCTTTGGATGGTTACCTCACAAAGTGAAAATGACGTCACAAGAACAAATTCCGTGTAGTCTGCCTGATACACAGAATGCGGATGTTATATTGACACAATCGCAGGAGGTATCAAGCCAGCAAACGATGGCCGTTTGGGGAAGATTATGTCCTAGGAGGCCATACTTACGAAGTCTAGGTAAGAGCTCGTCTCTTGCATAGGTAGTATCTTCTCGGAATCACCGCTTATTATTGTAGTTCTTCAAAATTCAAATCATAGCGCTAAAATTTAAATTAGGCAAATAATTATAATAACATTTTCTTATTTTATTTCAGAAATGATAAAGGATACTGTTTATACCTTAGGACGTTCTCCAAGCTGTGACATTTGTTTAACTTCAAATGAGTTGCAAAGTAAACAGCTAAGCGTTATTAGTAAGACACATTTTCGCATATACAAGGAGCGCGTTGGTAACACGAATGAGATCGTAGTGTACTTGGAAGATTCAAGTCACAATGGAACTTATGTTAATCAGGAATTGGTCGGTCATGGAAGACGTGTCATTATTGGAAATAATTCCGAGATAGCTTTAGCCAAGAGTTCCTTCTCGTGTACATACTTATTTTATATCAAAGTTCAATGTATAAATTATTGCATGATGATAAAAAAAAATTACTCTGTTTAATTGCAGTTTATATATTCGTGAGTGCAAATGTACATGAAATTGCTTATGAGTTACCACTGGGGCTGAAACAGAAGTATGTAATTGGCCGTAGATTAGGAACTGGTGCCTGTGGCGAAGTGAGATTGCTATTTAGGAAGGATGGTTCCGAAACATTTGCTATCAAAGTTATACAGAAAAATTATTTTAGCGCCGGTACTGGGAACATTCTTAATAATCCGGCGAACGTTCGGAACGAAGTTGAAATATTAAGAAAGCTGAAGCATGTAAGTTTAGATATAGTTAAGGCATCTCTTTTGTATCATTGTAGTTGCCAATAGAGTTTTGAATTTTTATTTCAGCCTTGTATAATTCCTTTGAAGGATATTTTTGACACGACTGAAGTTATGTACATTATTCTTGAATTAATGGAAGGTGGTGAGCTTTTTGATAGAATAAAAAGCAAAGGAAAACTATCTGAATCATGTGCAAAATTGATATTCTATCAAGTTGTACACGCTGTTTATTATCTTCACAGACAGGGAATTACACATAGAGATTTGAAGGTAATTTTAATTGAAGAATTTAAAATTAGTTATATGTTTTACATGGTCATATCAATATTACATTATTAGATTAAAAAAATTTACAGCCAGAGAATATACTGCTAAAGGACAATTCAGAAAATCCTTTGGTCAAAGTATCAGATTTTGGCATGTCAAAATTCGTAGATGCCCAAACAATGATGAGAACGTTCTGTGGGACTCCTATGTATGTTGCTCCCGAAATTTTGGCAACCAATGGACGCAGTTCTTATACAAATCAAGTAAGTATTTAAATTATACAAGCCAAAATATTCCGGCGAAATTTTAAGATTTTATAGGAAATTAATTCTCTGAACAAAATTTCTGTAAATGTGGTCAAAAAACACTTCCTTAAGCTAGAACCCAAAAATCTCAGAAATCATTATTTTATACATTTACAAATATTAGGAGAAATATGCGTTTTTTTTTTTTTTTTATAAATAAAAAACGTTTCAAAACAAAAGAATTAAATTATCTTTTAAATGAGATCAAAGTGATTGTAGTATGTTCTATTTCTATTGATTGAGATAATCAGTTTCAAAAATATAAAAAAGTGTTTAGTATATTTAAAAATAGCTTACACTTTTATTATTTAATTTTTCGCTATAATATCCTCGAATTTTAAGATATCCTATATAATAATATTATATGTGTACACATATATATTTTAATGAGAAATAATAGTGAATATAAATTTTGTTATATTCAGAATCATAGCTTTACCTAAGATTTGATAGAAAGATCGATTGAATGTTTGCACAATGTTTTAAATTTCAAATTCTCGTTAAATAAAGCATCGACAAATGATCTCCGATCTTCGTCATAAACAATCTTTGATTTGTTTGTTTTTGAAATTTATT